TACTACTACTACTCTCTCTCTCTCTCTCTCTCTCTCTCTCTCTCTCTCTCTCTCTCTCTCTCTCTCTCTCTCTCTCTCTCTCTCTCTCTCTCTCTCTCTCTCTCTCTCTCTCTCCCCGGTTGTTTCGTGTAACTCTATCTCCGGTGATTGATGGCCCCCGTCAACTCGTGATCTATCGCGTTAATCACGGGATACCTCGTTTTACGCTTTTATCTTTTTTCTTCTTCTTTTTCTTCTTTCCACCGGTCGTTAAACGGATTGCCGCTACTATATCGAAGAATCTCGTCGTTGTCTCAATCTTCTCCTCCGTTTTGATTTATCGTTCCTCCACTCTTCCCCCGTTTATCCTTATAACGAACGAATTCTCACCGCATTTTAACCTCTTCACCTCGACAAGCATTCCCTCTCATCGTTGTTGAATCAACAATTTTTATATTCTGATTTCTTAATCAATCTTTTCCATTCTTACTCTCTTTTCGTTTCTTTTCATCTTTATGTTATCTTTACGTTACGAATCCATACTTGCTATCTCCTTGTCAAAATGCAAAGGAAATACAAAAGCGAAAAGGAGGGTGAAACAGGGTAAGAAGGATGCGTTGTTGTCAATAATCGTGATGGGCGTGGCCGTGCATGCGATATTCCCTCTTCTTGCGTTTCATTCGATTCTTTCGAGATTGCGTTATTCCTGCGATATTTTCTAGGACACTGCAGCATCCACCCTCCGTTCCCGCGCCGAACCTCTTCACGGAGCTTTCTCTTCCCTTGCCACGTTCCCCCATTATCTCCACCGTTACCCCTATCTCGAAAATTTCTTCCACGATTCCTCGATCGATAAACGTGGCAGATGATATAATATTCAAACCGAATGTTTTTGAATTTTGGGGAATTGGAATTTTTGGTCGCACAGTTGGATTAACATTTAAATTTCGCCGTACTCGTTCAGAATACATTCGAGTTGAAATTGAAATAACATAATAACGTAATTATCCTCGTTCCACGAGTCGCATTTCTTCATTTTTATCGAAAAAGTATTTAACATCTAATTTCTCAGAGAATAACACTTTCATTTCTACAATTTATAACCGATCGAAAAATTTTCGCTTCATCTTCGTCAAATCGCCATCTCCTTCGTCTAATTTCAATCGCTTTTCAATTAAGCTAAAAAGCTTTAACATCTTCATAACACCAACAATACGTTTGTTACCTTGCAATATCTCCTCGATATAGAAACGATAGAAATTCGCTTGAATTTTAAAAAAAGGAATTAATCCCTCGGCGCCTATTGCCGGCGAATTTATTCAATTAGCTAAAAAGCTTCAACCTGATCTTTATCAACGATACAATTTGTTTTTACCCTTGCGACATATACTTATAATACCTCCTCGATAAAAAGATAGAAATTCGCGTGTAACTTCAATTTTAAGAATTAATCCCTCGAATGTCGTAGATCCCTCGGCTCGAATTGCCGCCGAATTTATTCGATTAGCTAAAAAGCCTCGACATATTTATAACATCAACAATACGTTTGTTTTTTACCCTTACAACATATACTTATAATACCTCCTCGATAAAAAGATAGAAATGCGCTGTGTAACTTGAATTTTTAAAAAAAAATTAATCTCGAATCCCCTCGAATGTCGTCGATCCTTTGGCTGGCGAATTTATTCGATTAGCTAAAAAGCCTCGACATATTTATAACATCAACAGTACATTTATTTTTACCCTTGCGACATATACTTATAATACCTCCTCGATAAAAAGATAGAAATTCGCGTGTAACTTGAATTTTAAGAATTAATCCCTCGAATGTCGTCGATCCCTCGGCTCGAATTGCCGCCGAATTTATTCGATTAGCTAAAAAGCCATATTTATAATATCAACAGTACGTTTATTTTTACCCTTGCGACATATACTTATAATTACCTTCTTCGATAAAAAGATAGAAATGCGCTGTGTAACTTGAATTTTAAAAAAAGAATTAGTCCCTCGAACGGTCGAATTTTTCGCCTCGTAAGAAAAAGATAGGGGGAGGGAGGATTCCAGGTGTGAAAAAATATTCGTATTCCGGAAACGCGGATCGGGTCCATGTAAATTGGAAAAGTCTCGCGAATTATTACCTCGAGGGCGTGTCATGAACACTCTTCGCTCTGCCCCTCTCTCTTTCCCCAACGCTTTTATCGAGTGGCTGTCGACCTGGCGGCCGATCGAACCCCGATCGAACCTCACCCCTCCGGGCACGATCCACCCCTGGGGAAAAACCACTTTATAGCCACTCTAGATTTAGCTGAAGGATTCTTCGCACGAGCTGATCGCGGTCTACCGTCCTCTTCGCACGATGACGATGATTTAACCGCTCCTCGCCGCGCTTATCCAACTTCTTGCTTCCACCTAATTTGCTAACTTCTCTCCTCCGCCCTATTTTTAATTGCAAAACACGCTCGCAATTACAATTTTTTCGTCGCCGTGAGAATTTTCAATCGATGTTATTTCATCAATTTTAACTATCATATTTATAATTTCTGCTAAAATTGCGACTTCAAAAATTGGTCGTCCAATTATCGAAATGGTTGTTAGTTGTTGTTCCATTGATTGTTCAATTCTTTCACGGCTGAGAGTCAAATTTCATTTGGTAAAATTTCCTTCCTCTACGAAGGTGATATTTTTTTTTTTCCCCCTTTGCAACCTGAAATATCCCACGACCATCGCGGTAATTTAATAACGTCCCTTGCATGAAAATGCCAAAACTTGCTCCGCGCGTCTTCCTTCTCGCCAGAGAGCCTCGATGAAAATTTAAAGAGTTCCTTTAAGAGAAGGAAGAAGATTCGTTGTGCCCCTTAAGCATCGAGCGGAGACATCGTCGTGCGGAGCGACACCGTGTTACGAAAAAAAAAAAAAAAGAAAAAAGTCAATCATTCTCGAAACACGATCGCAACGTTTATTTATCAAAGAAAGGAAGAACTCGTAATTTTCATTCACCATTGTTTCACTTCACTCTTGTCCCATTCGCCCCATCGATCGATCGATCGATCTTTGGAACAACGATTTTTCCCCATTTTTCTCCACCCATTATCGCGAATCGAATCGAATCGAACGACACTTCACAACCATCCGTGCGCACCATTTAAACCGATTGAATTTTCATTTCTTTGCAAATTTTTCTTCCTCCTCCCAATGCGAACGCGCACGAAAAATGAAATTTCATAAATTAAAACGCAGCGTATCATACGCTTATATTTCGTTAAAAAAGGAACGCGCGGTGAAAAATTGGCCCATGTTTTTTCGTCCGTCTTTTTTTTACGAAATATCATTGGACCGCGGCGCGGGCTTTCGTGTTTTTCGCGTGGAAGGGGAAAATCGCGTTGACGCGATTCGTTTCGCTCGTTTTCGTACGCGAAAGTATGGGGGAGGAGGGGGCTTTTTATGGAAATTAATCGAACGCCTCCTCTTTATTCCATCGTAAAACGCCGATTTCGCGATTACCGGATCGCGACTCGATTATTTATCTGCAATTTGACAGGGAAGAGGAGGGAACAGAGAGAGAGAGAGACGGTGTTTAATTTGCCCTGGCTTTAAATAATTCTCGCATCCTCCCCCCCCCGGGCTCGTAAATTATGTTAACCTTTATTCGAGCGTTAGTCGCACGAATTTCTCCCAACATTTTGAAATATTATAAATCAGCAGCCTAAAAATGCGACGAAATATTCACTTTTTTGTATCGTTCGAAAACGCAAAGGGATCGATGCTGATTGGAACGAACGAAAATTTTCTGGCTACCTTTGAGAAAATTCTTCGAAATTCTTCCGTGGCTTGCCGTTAAAAAAAACTGAGCTACCTTTTTTAATTCCTAGTCGCGAGAGGAAACTGCTGATTAGTTCCATCCGGACGTGGTTAGAGAGGCGAACGATAATCGGACAACTTTTAATCAACCCTTATCCTTCCCTCTCCTTTCTCTTCTCGATCGTTCGATTTTCAAAGCGAAACTCTTCCTTGCAACGTCAAAACGTTATGAGAGTCGTGTACGAGTCGACGAACGATGGAGGACGAGACAATGGCGTTAAAGGGAAGAAGAAGTTCCGGTGTTAGAATTTAACGGGTAAATACGGTCCACGGAGAGAACTCAATTTCCATTTCCCGCGGGAGTCCTTCTTCCGGCAAAAGTATCCTCTTCGCGCAGTCACGTCGTTGGCGCGGTACACGTCCCAGTAATTCGCTACCTGTCCGCGAGAACATCTTCTCTGGCGAGCGAAGAAATGGCTTCCTCCTCAGATTCTGCAACGATGAAAGATCGCGAGAACCTGCTCCCATCTGTTCGTATTTCACGCCTGATTTCTTCCATCGCAAATAGGATAATAGTTCGATAAGGAGTCGATACTCGCCAGAAATCAAATCGTAGTCAGTATTCCTTAGCCAATCATTTTAATCACTTACTTTCAAACTATTCTTGTTGGAGAGCTATAGCGAATATTGTTCATCTTTTGAAACGAATTTCAAAATGATAAATTTTATGGAAAAATCGTGTTATCCCCGATTTCGTCGCAATGTTATTAATTAAACGAACTTTGCTCCAACGATAATAACAATTATTCGTTGGCTCGATTCGGGATGAAAAAACGACATTTTTCGGCAAATTTCATCATCAAACGAGGTATCATCGATTTATATTCCCTTTGGAACCCACAAACCTCTATCCTACGCTTCCGTTTAACCATAAACAAGGTTAACCATGCCTTTTAATTTATAATTACCCGCGGGAGGGGACGCGGGTTACAACGAAAAATATTTCACCAACGAAACCCATTCCCTCGAGCGCTTAAGTGGGCCATCTCGCTCGCCTGTTGATGATGAACATAACTTATAAGCGTGCCAGATGCACTGCTACCGGAAACCACCCTCCTCCACCTATCTCGCCCCCTTTCTCGACAGCCGCCAACTCCTCGTTCGACGCCTCGAAACACTTACCCGTGGGCGGAACGAACGCGAACAACACCTTCCACAGTATCGTCAACCCGTGCATCAGATAGTCCAGGGTGGACGGCGCCGCCGGTTCCCCGCCGCCCTCGTCGTCCTCGTCGCCGCCGCTCACCGTCAATGCCTCCGTGAACTGTTCCTTCCAGGAACTGGTGCCTGTCAACATTATATCGTTCTTATTATTATCGCTCGAGAATTCTTCCAATTTTCTCGAGATCATGTTTGAAAGAAAGAACGGGTTTGGGGGTGTAAAATTAGTAAGAGAAAGTTATAAGAACAAGCGGAAGGAAGAAAGAGGTCTTTGGCCTTTCGGAATCGCGTTGAATCGCAGCCAAGGGAGGGGAGTGAAAGAGGAATTTGGATGTTGGTTCCAGTCGATCAACTTTCGAACCTTTTTACGCGGGGTCCAAGTTTTGTCGGGGAGAGGGAATTTTTCTTATTTCTTCGGCTATAAATTAAACTTCGTGGATAAAGAGAAGGATGTTCTTTTAGGAGAAGAAGGATGTTTGTTAGATTCTTCCTCTTCCATGAAACGAGTTTCCCTGAATAATTTATACCCTTTCTCGATGGATAATTGGCAAGTTTCGATTACGAAGCCGTCGTAAAATAAATTCGTAACGAGGCCTGTACGCGATAAAACGTTCGAATACAGGTATCGATTTCGATTTTCGCCGGCGATAATTTCCACTTAGCCTTTCTTTCAAAGCGTTTACTTCGCTTAACGTAACGCAATTCTTTCTCGTTTCAAGATCGTTACGCCTCGATCAATTATTCCCGCTATCAAACGGGGAAGGGAGCTGGTTGAAATGGCCAGCCTCGAAATCACGAAGGATGGGCGGGAAACTATCAAAGCTTGGCTATAAACGAACAGGGGGTTGGTTCTTTTTAATAAAATAAAATTCCAGACGAGTTATGCAACTTTCCTCCCCTCGGCTATTTACGCTTCTTTTTTACCCTATTACCCCCGGTCGATACCTGGTTAAACGTTCGAAAAAGCTGCACGCCACTTACTCAACAAAGAATACTCCTCCCTAGTTTCCTCGTAACCTCGAATCGAGAGGCTTAACGAAATTTTAATAATTTTACGACGACGTTTTATTCTAGCTTCACCTCGTAAAAGTTTTCGTTATCTTCTTCCTTCCATATTTTCATCTTAGAGATCGTAAATTCAACGAACTGTCGAATCTCTTATTGTCGCAATTTACAGACAAATAAAACTCCTTCGAAAAATTTCGAATATCAATCTTCATCCAGAGATAGAAAGTTTAATTGCAAACGACGAATAATTCGTAATCGTTTAAAAAGACGCAACGAGTCGACAGTTAAAAGGGAAAAGAAAAAAAAGGAGATGGGAGAAGAATGAAACGCGAGAAGGAAGAGAAACTATTAATTTCGAGCCGCGATGCGAAAAGAACGAGTTTCGAGGAAGAAGAAAAACGTTTCAACCGGTGTCAAACGAACTGGGATCTCGCAAGGACAGGTCTCGCAGGACTTTGGCCGCGGATGTGGGTCACCGTTTCTTGCGGAAACGCGAGACAACCTTGCCTCCTTCCCCCTCCTCTCTCGAAAGATTTAACGATTCGTTTCATCACGATGGAAATCCTCGCTCGAGGAGAAGCATTTCGAAAAGATTTCCTCGCTTGTTCATTGTTACGCGTGGATCCCCTCGCGCGAGATTACCAACGATGGCCAGCATTGCGAAACGGTTATTCCATCCATCCCGTTTTAAAAATCTTTCGTTCTCTGGAACGGAAGGAGAAACGAGTATCTACCGTAAGTGTTATGGAATTCTGCTCCACGATTTTAAGAGGAGCGTTTCGTTATTCGAGAATTCAACGTTAATTACTCGGAGTAGTTGTTGAAAAATTTTTTTAATTGAAAAATTTAATTATTCCATCCCACTTGAATTTTCTTTCTTTCTTTCTTTCTTTTTTTTAAATTATAACTCTTAATTTAATTGGTAATTTAATTACAATTTTGAATGGACGAATCCATTCACGGGTTCTCGAGCCAAGCCATCAAAGGGCCCCCGGATCAAATGAATCTAATTCGTACGAAGCTCAAAGAGAACTGATTCGAAAATCGTCTATCGTAAAATAAATGGAATCGAACGCATTAAAGGCGGTAGACCGGCGGCTCGCACCTTTGAGCTTAAAATTACCTTGCCCGAGGGCAGGTTGGGGTGAGTGCACAAAGGATGCCAATTCTTTCCTTCTCCACCCTTTGTCTCTGTTTTATTTCTCGATTCGAATAAAAACCACCGCCACAAACGGTCATTCATTCGCAAAACTTCTTCCAGGAAGAAGTTCTCGCTAATCTTGGACGAATTCTAGCCGTTCGAATAACACGTATAAATAAATGCTCGAGGGCGGATAATTCGATTGCTCGATGAACGAAATCTGAACGTGGTTGGATCCGAAAATTTGTTCTTTTTTTTTTTTTCCAGTATCCGGCCAGTCGCGACGAGCGTAGAATTAGAAATAGAATTTTCCCAGATATTCCGACCTATTTTCCAGATATTTTTCCATTTTCGTTTTCTCCGTGTCACGTTTGATCTGAATTTCAATACGGAGAGAAAAATCGCAACGCAGGGTCCGTTTGAAAAACAAGATCAAGGTTTGAGAAAACAGGATGGATATACATACATACTCGGTCGAAATGATCCGTCGTTCACTTTTTCAACCGAGATAAACGACGAGCGAACGAAGAATTTCGACGCTTGTCAAAATTATGGTGGCACGATTCTCAAACAAGATTCAACAACTGGGAGGAAAATGGAAATTCTGAAGGATCGAGATCGCGAAAAGACAGATTCCAGGAATCTACTTCCACGAGTGTGGATACGCTTTGCGAATTTACATTTCCAAAGCGGTCGAGTGCCGGGTGAAGTTCTCGATGGTAAGTCGCGTGGTTGCACCGAGTGCACAGTTTCGCGATATACGTCTTGAATCGAGAGGAAAGTTCGCTGTGTGAATCTCTTTATCGGATAATTTCATTAACCAGTATCCGGCCAGTCGCGACGAGCGTAGAATTAGAAATAGAATTTTCCCAGATATTCCGACCTATTTTCCAGATATTTTTCCATTTTCGTTTTCTCCGTGTCACGTTTGATCTGAATTTCAATACGGAGAGAAAAATCGCAACGCAGGGTCCGTTTGAAAAACAAGATCAAGGTTTGAGAAAACAGGATGGATATACATACATACTCGGTCGAAATGATCCGTCGTTCACTTTTTCAACCGAGATAAACGACGAGCGAACGAAGAATTTCGACGCTTGTCAAAATTATGGTGGCACGATTCTCAAACAAGATTCAACAACTGGGAGGAAAATGGAAATTCTGAAGGATCGAGATCGCGAAAAGACAGATTCCAGGAATCTACTTCCACGAGTGTGGATACGCTTTGCGAATTTACATTTCCAAAGCGGTCGAGTGCCGGGTGAAGTTCTCGATGGTAAGTCGCGTGGTTGCACCGAGTGCACAGTTTCGCGATATACTTGTCTTGAATCGAGAGGAAAGTTCGCTGTGTGAATCTCTTTATCGGATAATTTCATTAACCACACAAGTAAATTCGCCGTATCTTGCCATTATTGGAATTATCATTTACCATATATGTATGTATTATCGTTAAACATAGGGAATTTGGCAAACGGAGTTGTGAATTAGAATTTTGAACATCATTATTTTTTTCTTTTTCTTTTTTTGCCAAGAAAGATGGAATATAATTGTAATAAAATTATTCTAATTGTTAAAAGAAATTTCCCTCGTGTATTCCATCAACGACACAAGTAAATTCGCCGTATCTTGCCATTATTAGAATTATCACTTACCATATATGTATGTATTATCGTTAACATAGGGAATTTGGCAAACGGAGTTGTGAATTAGAATTTTGAACATCATTATTTTTTTTCTTTTTTCTTTTTTTGCCAAGAAAGATGGAATATAATTGTAATAAAATTATTCTAATTGTTAAAAGAAATTTCCCTCGTGTATTCCATCAAAATATGAATATATTCTGTTAAGAGAAATTCTTTCGTTCTTCTATTCCAATATAAAATAGTGGATAAATAAATATATTATCTCGATGAAATTGAGAAACACGAAACGCACACACATTAGTTTAGAAGAAATGGTTCAACACGCGAAGGTTAAATGATTTATTCGAGGGAAAATGTCTTGCAACTATTCCGTCCTTGTACACGCGCGTGTAGGGGAGGAGATCTGTGATGGTTGGTTCGTTTTACTGGACAGTTAGCTGGTATATCTGGAAACACGCGTTCTACTTTATGCTTGACCTAGCACGAGCATCGTTCCTCAATTACGACGCGTAATCGAATTTGTTACGTATGTATCGTTCGTTTCTTGACGGCCAGTTGATGAGAACAATATCGAGGACATTTTGCCGAGATGTAGCAAAATTAATGAAGCGGTGGTTTAAGACCAGTGCTTTAAGACCAGTGCTATTCAACAACTGTCTTTACGGGTAGAACAACGTTCGAGTAATTGCGTAATACACAACATCGTGTATTATCGGATATCGTCGGTTAACATCGGGTAACATCGGGTAATATCGGTTGATATCGGACAATATCGCACGATATCATAGTATTAGGTCTTCAATAAGATTTCGTTGCTGGTAACTTTGTTTTTAGCATTATTTGTGAGAAATTACATCATTGCATTGGAAAGTGATTTCTCTTTGAAAATTTACGACGCAAAAATCATCCTCTTAGTTATATTTCGATATTCTACGGATCGAAGTTAAAAAGAAAAATTGAACGATCTTAAACCAAATTCGAACGAGGTTAACGTTTGGAATTCCATTTGAATTACGTTTTCATTTCAACTAGTAAGCGTAATGTTATCTTGCAAACGTTCCGCGCGATTATATAAACATTTCGGAATATGGTGGCCGCGACGGGTTAATAATACCTTGAAATTTATTTGAATATGTTAACGACCGTAACAAATTAACGGACCGTGGGAAAGGATCACGGCTTAATTTCCCATTTTCCCATTTTTTCTTTCATTTAACTTTTACCACATTCTTCCATTCTTCTTCAACCTTATCGATTCGATCCAGACGAAGGAATCGGATTGAAATGAAAATTCTTCCGTCCACGCTCCGCTTGCCTTCAACGATATCGTCGTAACGAAATATCTTGCACGAGTTGACAAATGCTCGGCGTGGCATCAAGGCTCAATCGCCTCGAACGGCAATGTCACGCTCGAACGCAACTCCACTCGCGGAATTAGATCGGACAGAGCGAGGTGAGCTCGATTAACGAAGATGTCCCCCGGCTCGATAGACACATTGCCAGCCAATAAATCAATCGGACGCCTCGGAATTCCCTTCTTTTCTTTGTCGACGACCCACCACTCGACAAAGGAGTGCGAAGATTCGATTCTCCTCATCTCGGCCTGGAGAATCCATTAATTTCGACCGTTCTCCCCTTGTTTCGTTTTTCCTTCCTCCTCTCCCTATTCTTTCCATCCGGATTTCCATCGGGCGGAACCTGAAATTCGGAGGTCTCGATCCCTCGAGACATGCTGAGATGAAGGCGCGTCGTCGTGGCGCAAAGAAGGCGTGTCTTTCCGGCGATTTTCTTCTCGCCAAGGGGGGAGGATGCAAACCGTGAAATGCAAAACGGGCGTCGAACAAAAGGAATCTCGCGCGCGAGATAGAAGGATGCCGATTTACCAACTTCCTACTCTCAACTTTCGGATTTACCGGACTTGGCGTTAACTCAACCCCTCCTCCTCGTCCCCTTTCTCCCTCTCTTGCTCGAGACAGGATCCAAGTTTGGAACTCAATATAACGGGACGGTGATCTCGAATGTAATATCAAGTGAAACGACGCAGAAACGAACTAACCCTTTCATTGTCATGTCCTCTGTTTACGCGTTGTAATAAATACACATGCAATGCGATACGAAGCTCGAGGATTAAGGATTAATTAAAGACTCAAAGAAGAAGGGGGCTGGGAGAGAAAATAATACGAATTCTCTCTTCATTCGCTCGAAAACTTCGTTGCTCGAATTTCATATCCCCGTAATCCAACTTCAAGATGGACTTTTAACGGAACAGAAGTTTGTGCGTGTTCCCCCATAGAGTGTTTAGATATTATTTAATTTCGTTTGAATATTTTCCCGTGTCTTCGGTTGTGAAATTTCGACAGAATGGATGGAGAGGTTTGTTTACGAATTAAAATGAACGAAAGATGGATAAAGATCATCTCTGGATAATAGTTAATCACAAACTGCGAATCGTGTTCAATCGAAATATTATAATTTTTAAAACGAGAATGGATCTTTTCTCTAATTCTTCGTTTCCATGTTCCATAATTTGTCCAATCGACAGATGTACACACTCACAAACACAAGGAGCGCGATCAGTGTCACGTATGGTTGTCCATTCCGACAGGCTGTGCAAATATTAGGATTAGGGAGAAGGCACATTCGCCAACGATGCGAATAACTCGATTGGCCACGGTAGTCTGATCCAGCTGACGGAAGAGGTTTTCTCAACCTTTTTCCGCTAGACCTTTGCGCCCGATTCTTTCTTCTCCAAAAGCAATAAGCCGTGCATTATTGGATTCTATTAACCGGGAAATGTATATAGATAATTTCTTATCGCCGTGCTCTCTTTCACTCCGTTCAATCGACAACATGGAGATAAAAAAAGATAAGAACGAAGATAAAAACCTTGAAGAGGAGGAGGAGGAGGAGGAGGAGCAAATATTGAATAAAAATCTCATCCTCTTGTATATTAAACGTTTAACAAAATGTTTAAAAGAGAGAAATGAAATAAAGATCCGGGCGAAAAAAGCAAAAGATGGTAAAAATGGATGTATTCTTCCTTCTAATTGTTCTTCATCAGGCGCAGTCTTAAGCGTGATTCCGTTTGTTTCGTCTCGCCGGTGGGACGGCTTAACAGTTTCTCAGCCTGTCCTGTTTTAATCAAGGCCTGTTCACGGGCAAATTTACACTCGAGTGGCACAATAAGGAGGATTTGAAGTGGTGGATAATGCAGGTGGAAAATAAGAGAAGACGAGGAACGAGGATGAAATGATAAAATGCTGGGGGATCGAGGAAGAAGCAGGCTGTTAGAGGGGAATAAGGTAGGGGCGGTGGGACAAGTTCTCGAGTGTTCCACCTTGTAAAACTTGTCCCTTTCAAAATAAGCGGAACGAGTTAAGTTAATTTCCAAAATTACGCAGAGACAAAGGTATATAAACGACGACGAAATTGGAAATCGTCGGCGAGAGAAGAGTTCGCAAGTAGCGAAGTCGAAGAGGAAGAAAAAAAAAAAAGTACGTGAAAAATTGAAAAAGGGAGGGAAACTGTTCGAATTTCTTCTTCTTCGTCGCTCTGAGGAAAGTCTGGAGGGAATTTTTTAAATCGAAGAGAAAGAAAAGAAAAAAAAGTATCGACTCACCGAGCAGTATGGAGGCGTTGGCCCTTTGCACCAGTTTGTCCACGGTATTTTTGAACTCCTTCGACTCTTTGATCCGTATCTGTGCCCTGAACACCTCGCCCAACTTCGGTTTCCCGAGCAACGCCATTTTTTCCTCGGCGGTACGCTCCTCTGGCTGTTTCATTTCCGCCGCCACTGCGATCCCTGCCTCGGCTGAAAACAATCGCACGCGCTCGCTGATCAAACAGTTTCACCCGATCTTCCAGAAAAATTCTACCATTGCCGAATGTATGGTCGAAACTTACGGCGGAGGGGAAAAAAAGTAAACTCGAACGAGTGCATTCGTTCGTCGATTTAAAAAACAAGAGCGTAGAGCTTCGTCGAATACAGCAAGAAATGCAAAGAAGATCAATTTCTTCGATCACGATTATTTATAAATTATACCCGTGTGTAAAACACACCGGGCTCCAATGCTAATTCCGTTCGCCAAAGTCTGACCATATATCGGCTATCACCACTTGAGCGTCGATTTCTTATTAATACTTACTACTTATATATATATACTCGTGGCTCTCTAACTCTCTAGCATAAACGAATCGTCAATTTTACATATCTCTGAAATTATATATTTCCCCTTCTTTCCAACTCTTTCGTTTCGACCGAAAATATATTCGCACGCGTGAATAAATATCGCTCGAAGATATACATCGCGACTAAATCGATCGAACATTACAACGAAGAGAAGAAAAGAAGTGGGGATACAAATGGATACTTATCGGTGGGGAATGTGTTTCTAATCTAATCGAGCAACGCCGATTTTTGCGCTATGAAGAGAATTTCGAAGCAGGAGATTTCGATCTAAAGTTATTCCCAGTTGACCGAATTTTCGAAAACGAAAGAGCTCTAAATACTCTTCTCGTTAGCTTCTCGTTTGGGATGAGAACAAAATCATCCACGCGCGCGACCATCGAATTCCAATTTCTTCTTCTCCTTTTTTTTTTTTTTTCCATTCCTTCGATCTCCGTTTCGCCGCTGCACCCATTCATTCCTTAATTCAATACAAGCTCCCCGATGCGACCGAACTCATTTCCTCCTCGTCACGTGAAATGCGATCGTTTGCGTGTTGTGTACACGCGTGCGAGAGTGAATGCATTTATCATCGGCCAGAATGCGCATCGGTTCGAAAGATTGTCGTATCGATTTCGACGCGTGTCGCGCCACGCTGGATTTTTCCCTCCTTCCTTCCCTGGGGAGAATCTGCGCGGAGAAAAATCGTAGAGAAGGGAAGAGAAGAGACGAGGTAAGGATGGAAACGAAGTTTGTTTTTGATTGAACGATTAAAAATTTTTTTAATCGTTTCGTATATATTATGTTAATTTATCGTTAGCAAGGAGATTTGAGACGTTTTATCGGCGAGGCAAAAGACGAGTTTGATTGAATAATTAAAAATCTATTGTATACGTTGTATAACTTGAATATCTATCTAAGGAAGAGATAGCGATCTGATGGCGTTTCATTTATTTATTTATTTTTTTTTCACAGAAATTTATGTTTTATTTAGCAGCTCTGTGCATCCTTCCTCGTTTGTTTGGGTATTCCAAAGGTCCATATACGAGTAAAGGTGGTGAGCGAGTCATGATTTATGAATTTTACACTTGGAAATAAAGGAGTAGGTACGGAAAAACTTATTTGTGCTTGTGGAGATGTTGTACCGTACATTTATATATATTTATAAAAGATTGGAAAAGAATTGTAGAAACAAACAATTTTAAATGAAATACGAAATTTATTCGAATTCGTTTCGCCAATAAAAATCACTCTCGAACTCTAATTTTTTTTTTAGATAGATTCGAAAAGATCGCGAAATTGCATCATCACAAAATTTGTCTGCAAAATTTCCCGTGTTCTATTTAAGTCGTTCCATAAACGGATCGCGAAAGAAAAATTGTATAAACTTGGCGATTTTACGGGCGATGTTTCTTGGAAACTTCCCAGAAACGAGGCTTTTCGTTCCACGTTAATTCGATTTACCTGTTGTAACTACTTGTTCTCTCGATTTCTATCTCCTTTATTTAAAGGCGGAACGCCTGTTCAGATGTTTGATATCGTAGATAACTGTTACACAACAAGCGGAAGTGCACGAAGGATCGAAGACTATCACGCAAATCCAGGATAATCGATGGAGAGTTTACCGAGCAAACAACCGACACGCGATTTACAAAACTGATTGTCCATTTTGCAACCTGATGTCGGACCGTCCGACATTTCTTCCACGCCGATCGTTCCGAATTTTTACCAACAAATGATAAAATAACACAACATTTCCACAATTTAACGAAATTCACCAATTCGATTCCATCGTTAAAAATATATATAACGCAATTATAAAATATCGGTTTAAAATGGAAATAGAGTCGAACGGACGAGTTGTAAAAATTTTACGAGTATCAAGACGATAAATTCGACTTTCTCTCGAGATGATTCTCGAACGAATGGAAACCAATTGTTAAATTTCGATTCCGACTCGATGTCGTTCCATCGTCGTCTACGTCCTTTTATCCATCTTCTTCATCCCCCGAACTCGATTTTTCGCCGCTCTCATCCCTCCGGAACGTCGTAATTCAGATAAAATTCATCAAATTCTCGTTCGTTCCATCGGTTATTCTATCCGGCTCCACTTTCTTCTTCGTCTATTCTTCCGAAATTAATATTTTCCTTTCGTCATCTTGTCGTCGGGGCAGATTAAACACACGCATCGCGTTATTATATCGACGTTCCAGTCGAAAGATCGACTTTACGTCATCCGCAGACTACGCCGAAGGATTACATTTAGAAATTGTCTTTTCTTTTTTGTCCACAAATATCACGGTATATAAAGATAATACGAGCAGACACAAAAGGTGAGTTGGTAAAAATGAATAAAAATTTATCGACTGAAGATCAAGTTTGAACAACTCTTCAAACGAATCTGATTAATATTATTAGTCAATATTATGATAACATGGAATAAAATTTTATTGCGTACAATCGATGAATTTTCAATATTTTCTCGCGCGAGAAAATTATTCCCTTTCCTTATTATTTATTTTTACACGAGAAAATTCACTTCTTTGTGAAACATTCTGCCACAACTACAAAGTTTCTACGTAAAACGATCATTACACGTGTGAATCTAACGTGTCGATCAATCCTGTCGAAATAATAATTATACGAGTAGTAAAGTTTTGTCCAGAAATAACAACCAATGTATATCCATCGAAATGTAATCCTCGAGGAAAGTTTACGATATTGAAAGAAACAAGAACGTGATATCTGTTCACATCGAGGCCTCTCTGATAAGACGGGTGTGCTTTTGCCAGTTATTTCTGGAAATGGGATTTCACGGAATTTACACATTTTCCTACACCAGGAAGGAAATACCGTCAAATCTCAGCCGAAATATTATTCCATTCGCGGCGGCTTTTAGCATCATCCCGCTCCTCCAAGAAAGAAGCTTCTTATCCCGTTGAAAAAGCTCGCGAGAAACCAATCTGATATCCTCGGATTCGATTTCTCGACACGCGTGTTTTTTTCGGTTCGACGAAACGAAACCTCCGAAACTTTCTTCCGAGATTCCATCGAGAGTTTCGCTGGAAGACGATTGATTTTAATCGAATCGTTGATTTCATTGCCCTTCCACAGCTCAACGATGGATCTCGTAAGAGATAACGAACTAACGTCGTTGCACGTTAAAGGTCTGCTCCCTTCCTCGATTATTACCATACGAAAAATAAAATTCTCGTTGCCCTTTCCGCCTCGACCTATGTCAATGATCCGTAGTCAATTGGCGATCAATTTCTTTCTTCTTTAAAGGTCACAACAGTTGTTCTCTCGGCTAGTTAATTTTTCTCTATTGTCGTAAAATCGAAAAAAAAAAAAAAAGAAAATAAAAATCTTCTCGTTGACTTGGTCGAGATTCGAGATCAATCAACTTCGAGAGTAAAAACTCATTGCCACGTGAAAATGAGATTGTAAAAGAAAAGAAAAAAAGGAAAAAAATACAAGTTTCGATTCGTCGACAGAAATCATCCTCGTTATTTGATTATTGTAAACTTTACATAGATCGGATAGGAAGTTTACAGTATTATTAAACGTCGATATTGCGCGTTTGTTCAAATATAATCGATAATTCAATTTCAACAAATTTACTACAACTGCCCGCTTTTTACAACACTTCCTTCCATTTGCAACACTCTCGCCGTTTAATATCGGTTCGAACCGCAACGACTTTTATCAATTTTTCTCTTATCGATCGAGTCGTCGATCATCCATCATTCTTGAAACGTGCCGATTTATTCCATCGCGACCATAATCCACCCGCGTCTCCCAATTTATCCCGTTGAACCACGTACAGAGAGAGAACGTAACGCCTATTAGACGGAATAAGCTTGGAAAACAAAGCCCTGGCAGCACAAACATTCGCGGCAACGTTTGAAGCTCCGTTATTTACGAGCGAATGGTTGTAAACGCGTTTAATCGCGTTAGAAATGTCAGCAGCCTAACATCCGGCCTCCACGCGACCCAGAAACGCTTCTATTTATCATCCTTTTGGAACGTGCAACCCTCCCCCCTCTAGGGACAATTCTCCACCTTTCCTTGATAAAAACACAAAATCCCGCAATAATTCGGTTAAAATAGAACGTCGTCGAATAACGTCGAGAATTTTAAAACTTTCTTCCTGCGTCTCTCTCTCTCAATTACAGAGAAAATAAATAAACGGATAGAAGAAAAATCCATTTAACGAAATTTCAAGCCGATTTTTCTCATTAATTATATTCTCTTACGTTTATCATTTGTCAAAATGATTGATAACAATTTTCTCTTCAGAATAATTCGTCAATGCTTTTTGAAATTTTCCCCTTGACGCCCTTCTTGCATACAATTATTACTTCACCCATAATTTTTCGTTTAACGTAACGGGATTTAACACGGGATTCCAGAAACGAGTGGACTCTTGATCTCGATCAAGAACAAGTAGATTCGTTTGCAACCGACTTAGGATTATTTTTTTCACCGGATATCCGGGGTGAATCATTTGTATCATTCACGATATCTCGAATTTCCGGGGAACGAAACCGGCAGTGGCCGTAATTGGGAGAGGATTGGAGGAGGGGGGGAAGGGAGGTCCCGACCGCACCCTGATTCCGCCCTCCATCGGGTCACGGTCGTCCCTC